ATCTAAAATATAATTAGAATAATTATCGAGTTCCAACAAAATAAATAATTATTATCTTTATTAAAAAAATTATATTATTAAACTAAATATAAATTACTCCGTTATTGTACATAAATTAAATTATAAAAAAATTGAATTATAAAATTACACAAAAAATGAGGAATTTCGAATAGTTAATTTGATACTAATACCAATATATTTTTGTCAAATTTTTATGATATCTTCAAACATATATTTTATTCAAAAATAAACACATCATTGCTTTCTCAAAATCACATAAATTCATATTATAACATCGACTGAAATAAAAAATAAAATAAAATATTAAAATCACGATGTATCTCGCTGCATTGCACGAGTACGCTTCTAGTATATATATATATATATATATATTAAATTTACAGATTTCTCTATTTTCATTTTCTCTATCTATAAAAGAAAGTTAACATTGTTGTTCTAGTAACAAAAATTTAAATCTCTATGATAGTGTAAATAGTTTACATTTTCATCCTTTTTTGACAAAAAATATTTATCTATTAATATTTACGTAGTCATCAAAAGCATTAATATATAAAAATAATACTAGATGGATACTCGCACAATACAACGAGATATATATCTTGATTTTAATGTTTCGTTTTATTCCGTCTCCATAGATGTTTATAATATGGTTTTTATATTTGAAGATATCATAAAATTTTGAAATAAATATATCAATATTAGTATCAAATTAACTATTTAAAAGTTCTTGTTTTTTGTGTAATTTCTTTAATTCAATTTTTTAATTATAATTTAATTTAGATCTTTTACAAAGATAATAATTAAGTATTCTGTTAAAACTCGATGATTATTCTAGAGTGTCGAGCAAGGGTTAGTCTGTAGAGTTGTAGATCTTGATACCATGTGAGAATATGTGGAACCACGGTTAGATTATTCTCCAAAAGAATCTTTGAATTGAAAATGAAGGTTATAATACATATAGATGATAACTGATTCAATTCTAACCGATGTGGGACTCCAACACACACACACACACACACACACATATATATATATATATATATACACACACACACACACAAATGACAAGGGCTTAAATTGTAATTATATGCGTTTGGTACCCAGTGAAGACTGGACAAGCAAGAGTGGGATAGGAGGTGAAAGAATTAGGTGACGTTTTAAGGTTTGAATTCGATTTGTGTAGTTTATTAGTTTACCAATATTCTCTGCATCTTCCTGATTATTGTTTTACCTATTTTGGTGGGACAAAAAACATTTTTGTCTCATTAACTGTCTGATGAGAATGAAAGTTATTGCGAGAAAGGTAAGAATGGATCTTCACTCTTGGATCAGTCGTAATGAAGAGAACCACTAGATCAATATTAACGAGATAAAAATTCCTTCTAAAACGTAATTCATGGGTTGTTTTGGGACTAAAAGTGATCAAAGGTCCAAATCCCTTCTTAGACGATCTTTGTATATAGAAACTACCCTATTAAAATAGCAGTATACAGTTTTTTTCAATAAAACACTTTTGGAAGCTGTAAGCATTCAAATACACTTTGAATAGCAAACGACACGCTCGAAGTGCTGTCTTTACCGACTAAACCACTGGATCCCTCTCAGGACCTGAAGAATGTGTGACGTTGAGTCGGGGCTAACCTATGCCGATATTGGTGGACCGTGCTCTTTTACCAATTTTTATTTTCAACTATATTTTTAAGGTTTACTTATTTAATCAGTTAAAAATAAAATATAAACTAAATTAGCTTAATTTTAATAAATGAATCAGAATTGACACATCTGATAATTACTGTATAAAAAGAGTTGATATTTTGTCTTTTTCTCAATCTTTACGAGCTTCGTTGATTAACTCTTGTAGTCTTTCGTATATGCATGTCGTCTCTACACCAATCCTCGGAATTCTTGCCTACAAAACCAAATCATAACCTCGTTAACAATATTTAGGGTTGTAAACGAACTGAATGATGAACAAACTGTTTATGAACAGTTTAAACTGTTCCACTGAAAGTTTGTTTATTTAATAAATGAACGAACATGAACACATCTTTTTGTTCGTTTATTTAAATAAACGAACATGAACAATGATCACGTTCGTTTACACTTGCTTATATATAAATTAATATGTAAAGTCATTAATTTAATTTAATTTATAGAATTCTTTTTATATCGTTTTTTAAGTTTATCTGGTATTCCATTCCATTTCGTTATGTTATTTTTTCGGAACAAAATGATGAGTAATGATAGTTGTTTTTATTTATTTGTGTCTGTTCATTTATTTCGTTTACGTTCGTTTAACATTTTAACAAACGAACATAAACGAATACGAACAAACACATTTTTATGATGAACGAATATGAAAAAAAAAAACTCGTTCATTTAATGTTACTAGAAGCGTACTCGCGCAATGCAGCGAGAAAATCGTGATTTTAATATTTCATTTTATTATTTATCTCAGTCGATATTATAATATGGTTTTATGTGATTTTGAGAAAGCGATGATGTTTTTATTTTTGAATAAAATATATGTTTGAAGATAACATAAAAATTTGACAAAAATATATCGATATTAGT